CATGAAGCTAAAATGAGGAGAGCCAGGGAGTGAACCCACATCCTCAGGCTCCTAAGCATCAACTCTATCCATGACACCATTCCCATATAAGCTGCAATGGTTCTTGCCTTCCTTTCCTAAAGAAAGTAAGCCTATAAGTGGTGTTCAGGAGGAAATGAGGACAAGACTCCTATAAACCACTTTCCAAACCAGGCTGAGGATTGTGACTTGCTGATTCTGGGGCACATTGGAACAGAAGGTTCCCTGGTGTTCTATTGCCAACACCTAAAAACTCAGCTGTGCGTCAGGCCGTGCTCTGGAGAAAAAGGGCTTTCCCATCTGGTGACCCTCTTTTGCTGCAGGTCTTCAGTCAAAACCAGTCAGTTTGGCCAGATTGTGAATAAAACCATTTTTTGAAATATTTTATAATCTAGTTGTGCCAACTACAGACAAGTCTAATCTGAGGATACAGATTTATACCAGATTTTCTGCTCAAAACTATTGAGTACCATACCACAGATTTGTATGGCCATCTTTTATTCATCTTCTGGTTTCTGTAGCTTTAAATTATATCATTCACATTTTGAAGCCACTTTGTCTAAAATAAAACTGTAAATTTTTCTTAAAGATGAACAAACAAAATTAAATATCTGCATGGTGATACAAAAGGAGAGCAGGATGTTTTAAGAAGGATATTACCATAAGAGTCAAACTTCAAGTTTCTAGTTTTGCTTCTGCTACTAATTAGCTGTGTGACTTTGAAAAATTCACTTAACCTCTCTGAACTTGTGTTCCTTCATCTTAAAAAAAAAAAAAAGAAGGGAGGATTAGACTGTGTGATGTTTTAAATTCTTTCCAGATTAAACATGTAATTTACCTCTGGCACTCACTGATCATGGAGGAAAGGACTGCCTACTTAACCCAGTTTTCACTTTGAGTTTAGGGTCAGGATGAGTTCTAGGCAAAGCAGAGAGTCACCATCTCTCCCAAATGGAAGTCCTCTCCCTCCCCGGTAACACAAAGAAGTCACAAAATACCCCCCATACTTTCTCAGGGCACATCTTCCTGGCAAATCCTTTCATCAACTGATTCTACACAAAACTCTCAAAACCGCTGACTTATTATTTACTGTTGACTTATTAGTGACCAACCAAAGAACTGTTTTACGGTTGTTCCTCAGTGGCAACTTTCTAATCCCTGGTTTCCATGTTTTCTTTATTTTCATCTGAGCCTCTCACTGAGCCCACATCCTGCCCCATGGTCTTCTCTCCTTTAAGTTTATGCTATGGAATTTAACTCTTTATAATATTAATCCCATCAAAACTTACATTCACATTTATGATGGTAACTGTTCTAAAGGCATGACTGTACTAGGAGATCATGTATCTGTGGGGAGAGAGATTATAGATAGAATATTCTTACATATCATCTGCCCCTCCCCACACCAACTTCCCTATAGAACAGTGATTTCCCAAAGGGGTGGGAGGCATGGAGGGTGGTCAATGCTTACATCATATTCACAAAGTGATGGGGAGTTTATAAACAGGAATCGTATGGCATTAAGCATAGAAGATGCTTCCAAACAGAACTGTTTTGAATTTTTACTGAATTGGACTATTTTGACTACAACCGGCCAAACATCTGTTTGACTGTCACGTGTAGGTATGAAGGATGTCTGTCACTGTCTTATGGATGAACACTTGTTCACTATAATAATGTGATTATGGATTTTTGATAAAGCCATAGCATTGCTCACATGTGGTTCCTTGGTGCTTGTGCTGAGGGGAGAGGGTGGGTCTGATAAAAGACTCATTTTAGATCAGTGGTCTGTTTACACTGTGGCCCTTGGTCTTGCACTGTGAGCTTTTCTTACTACGGCCAACGATTGCTGAAAGACAGCCCAAGATATCCAAGCGCAAACACTTAAGAAATACACAGAGCCCAAGTTAGCAGAGTGCACTGGCAGAGCACAAACCTGGGCCTGGGTGTTACTCAGTTACGAAAGGGCAGAAAACAGACACTGCCTGGGGCATCACATTCTGTTTGAAATGTCCAACAACTGCCCAAACATTTGGCGACATTCAGGGATCCTCCAGAAGAAAATGGGAAAACTTACCAGGCACCTAACCCAGTGCCTGATAATATTTTATCTAAGCCTAACTCTGGACTTGAGGAAAGTACACAATCGCAGGATTTAATAACCCACAGATGGATCACAGGGATAGAAGAGAGGAGGTCAGAGCAGAGAAAATCCACCCCTCGGTCCAAGGTCCTTTCCACCAGACCAACAAAGAGCCTGGTGTGCATTTCCACCTCCTGAAGCCAAAGACTGAGATGTCTAGCCTGGGATCTAATTAGAGGGGTCCATGGGCTCCTCCTCTCCTGGAAGATGGAGTCATGCTATCTGCAGTCAGGAGCTCTGCCTGGGATGGCTTGAGTTAGAAATGCCTGAGCAGCTGTCCACGTGTTCTGTGCTGTCACAAAGTACAAATGTGTCTGGTGGCTAAGACTCTGCGGCGAAACTCACAGTGAATGCCAGCTCCATTAGTATGGCAGGAGAGCAATCTATTAGGAAATCGAAGTCCCCTCCCTCATTATAGGAAAATAAATGAGCTGTGTCTCATGGGGAGCCAGGAGACGGAGGAGAAATTCTTTTATAAAGAGAAGCAATGGGCTTTGGAATCAGACAGCTGTAGATTTGAATCCTGGCCCTGGTGCACACAAATTGGATGGCTATGAGGAATTGCTTTAAACTTCGTTGAGGTTGCTCATCTGTAAAATGGGCAAAAATAATGCTTATGTCGTAGGAATGTGAGGCTTAAGAGACACCAAGTGAGCAGAAGGGCCAGCCCTGTAAGTGACCTATAGTGAGAGTTTGGAAATGGTATGGCCAGTTCTCCAGGGGCCTGAGGTCTGAACTGCGCAGGAGTTGGAGGACCAGTCCCGGCGTCCTCCCCTGGTCCCCTTGCTGCCCCACCACACCTCCCTTCTGCAGGGTGCTGCTCATGCTCAGCTGCACCTGCTCACGTTCTCACCCTCTGGGAGCACCATGCAACTTGGGCTGTTCCCAGGCCTCACAAAAGTCCTTTTCTCCCCAACTCCTCACTTTCTCTCTATAGCCAGGAGTGCTTGAGGATACAGTCAAAGCTTGGAGAGACTTAGACCCACCACAAGTTCTTCTTTTATTATTTCCTTCTTGCAAGGTGAGAGAGGACAACGTCTCAGAATGAAAGATTCTCCTCCATGCCCTCTCTCAGCAGAGGCCCTAATTCATTTTTCATGGCCCCTTGCAGTGACAAAAGCCGCTGCTTTCTCTCTTGTAAGCGTGCTCCATGCAATAAGTCAAAGCTGATGTGCATTTTCCCCCTGGGTGCCAGAGCGCGCTTTGATTTAATTTGCCCTGTTGTTTGGCACAGAGCCTTTGCCAGCGAGTTTCTTCACAGACCTGGGGAGACAGGGCCCTGACAGCGATGGGGCACAGTGACAGATGGGGTTCAGTGGGTAGTGTTTAAATACTTTGCTGCAATGATAAAAGAAGCGTTGGAGAGTGACAGATGCTCCTGCAGAAAAGTCAGCCAGACAAACACACACAGCCCGTTTATGGGAGCTGAGGCCGTGACGATGACAACATGGGTCCGTGGGAGGCTTGCCCACTTTCATTCAGCTGGAGTCAGCAGGTGTCACAGGTGAGCTGTGGGCTTCAGAGACTTTGGTAGATGAACCCATCTTGGCCTCTCCTGTAGTCATGGAGGCCCATCTGGAGGGGCTTTGTTACAGACACAGACATGCTGCACTTATACCACTTTCACACTCCCCACCTGTGACCATGCCATGCCTGGTAGTACAGGCCCAGGAGAAAAACCAACATAGTAGGAGTCAGGCTGGATTCAGAAAGCATCCCTATTTAAGAATGCCTGGGGTAAAAATGATGTGGTGAGCCGTGAATGCACAGAAAGGCAAAAGGAGTCAGAAAAGCAGGCAGAGTTATGCAACGTAAAGGCGGAAAGCAACGGATTGGCTGTGCCAGGTCATCTAGGCAAGCACACGGGTGACAGAAGCCCAGCGCTGCAGTGGCCTGGGGCGCTGAGGACTTTAAGATCTGGTCAACTCGCTTTGCCTGCAAACTCTGTGATCACCAGCAGCCAGAGGGAAACACTGGACACCTGGCCCTATGGATTCCTAATGCTATAGTAGTATTCATTACTGGGAATCATTAGTGCTGTCTTCCTCAGTGAACGGCTTGTCCATGGAGGGACCACACTGTGGCGTGGAAAAGAATACAAAGCAACAACCACATTGGAACCTTAGTGTGTGTGCAAGAAAACATCACAGCAGATGATTATTGGGAACCCACCATACCCGTGGCCTTGACCGAATTTTCCACATTTACCTTCTGGGATGGAGTGAGCGCAAAGGTGGTCCAGGGGAGAGAAGAGAAGGCGAGGGTGTTTTATTTTTGGTAGGGGAAGGTTCATTGAGTATGTTCGGTTTCTCTTATTCTTTGGTTTTAATTCTTTGGGCAGATTTGAGGGTGAGATGGACTCTCTAGAGAAGCATGGTAGAGACGCACACCGGACACCAGCTTGTTGGTGGTGGGGGTGAGCTTAGAACAAAAGTAACACGATGGCATCAGACCAGGGAAGGGAAAGGCTGCCTGGAATGGAGATGGGGCACCCAGCTGGGAACGGACAGCTGAGCAGAGAGGGCAGCAAATAGTACTGAGCTGTCTCCAGTCAGGAGTCTGCAGCTGAAAGTTGAAGGGGACTCAGGTGCTACAGCAGACTGGAGGAGGCACGTCAGAAAGGAGTCTATTTACTTGCTTACCTGTTGCAAATTTAACAGCTGCGAAACTCACCACCCCCTCTGCCTCCTCTCTCCTGACTGGGCAGAGAGCTTCACTCTGAAAGGTGAATTGAGATTTGCCTCTTGGCATTTTCCGGATTTTGTTTTACAGCTAATCAAATAGGCATTAACCATCTGGGAGCCAAGAAGCTGAGTTCCCTTGAGCAACTGAGTTACACCTTGACCTTCTGAGGGTGCAGATGGAACACTGGCAGAACCTCTTACGGAGGAATCATTGAAAGGGTTTAATCAGGGACATTTTTAGCAGTCTGGGACTCAAGCCTGTCATGTCATCTTGTGAAAAAGAAGTTTGGGTTATAGTGAAGGCAAGCTAAAGAGAACATGGACAAAAAGATAAAAGAAGAGTTAGTGAAGAAGGTCAGAGCAGAGCCAAAGGGACCAAAGACAACAACAAAAGGCAAGCTCTAATTCATCCCGACAAATGCCTGTTACTTTTGTGTCCTCACCTCCACATCAGGTTCCAGAAATGAGGCTGCAGGCCGTGGGCTGTGGTAGTTGCTCTCAGTGTGGTTGTCACAACTGGGAGGTGGGTGCTAGTGGCATGTAGTGAACAGAACGCAGGGATGCTGCTAAATACAATACACGGGACACCCCCCCACACACACACAGAACAAAGGACCACCTGGCCCCAAATGTCAATAGTGCTGAGGCTGACAATCCCCAGGTGATAGATCCAAGTGCAAGCCAGACGATGTTCACCCAACTGGAAACCCATCTAAATGCACTGGAGGAGGAAGTCCTGGTTCCCTTCAACCCACCAGCCACTGGCCTTTCTGTGGCACATGGAAAATAGTAACCAAGGTCAGGAGAGATGGAGGGGCTCCCGCACAAACGGCAGAGGGATGGGGAAGCATCTTAAGGCAAGAAATGGGTGTTCTTTATTTTTTTAACTTTTTTTTTATTTTTTAAAGATTTCATTTATTCATTGGAGAGAGAGTGAAAGAGAGAGAGAGCATGAATGGTGGGGGAACAGAGGGAGAGGGAGAAGCAGACTCCCCACAGAGCAGGGAGCCCGATGCGGGGCTCGATCCCAGGACCCCGAGATCATGACCTGAGCCAAAGGCAGACGCTTAACTGACTGAGCCACCCAGGCGCTCCACGAAAAGGGTGTTCTTTAAAGGAAAAGTCAAAGCAGAAGAGGAATAGTATAAACAAAGGAAAAAGCAAATGAAGGGGGGTGTGGAAAGAATAGCTAAGGGAAAAGGAGGGCAACAGTGACTCAGGGAGGACGCCATGGGCAGACGTGTGAAGCAACACTATGAAGACACCTGATGAGCTGGAGAGAGAGAGAAAGTGTATTTACAGGGAGTGTGTTAGAGAGATGGTGAGGAGAATAAGATTGGTGTTCTCAGAAATATGGGGGGAGAGGAGAAAAAATACAAAACAAGAGCTCTAGACAAGGGAGGAGGAGAAATCATACAAATAATAGGTAAAACAAGTAAGAGACAAAAAACTGAGGCGAATTAAGAAAAGAAGGGTAAAGGCAGAGGGAAAGAAGCTTCCATGGGAAGAGACAGGGCAGAGGGGAACATGAGTCTACAGCCAGGAGCTGAGCTGAACCCTGTCTGTCGGTGGTCCACGGTCAGCTTTATTTAGCAGCTCAGATCTAGAAGCTGTCGGTGGGCTGGGGGCAGGGAAGAAAGGACACGCTGTGACAGTGAGGCTTTGGGCAGAGTCTGGAGCTGCATTCCAGGCTCTCCTTGGGTTCATGGCTAGACCTGCAAAGACTGTCTCATTTCTTCCGACTCCACATTTGAAGGGAATTCAGGAGAATCTTGGACAATAAGTAACTCAGCTCCTACTCTGCTCTGCACCAGGCACTGTGCTAGGCCCTTGCAAGCACAGGTGAATAGGAGAGTCTTTGTTCTTGATGCCCTCTCAGACATGGAATGAGCTATGTCGGTGGTGGTGATATGGTGGGGGCAGACCCTCATCTTCATTTTGCAAGTTGAACACTTGGGTAAATCTCAGCCTGATAAAAAGTTTTTGCTCATCTCAATGAGAGATGGGGGAGAAAGAGTTGCCATGGCTAGAAAGAACTCTCGACCAGGAACTAGGGTAATTGGTGATGATCCTACTGACACTCACCAGCTGGCCATGTGATCTTGGGCGAGACACTGCACTTTCTTCAGACTCAGTTTCCTCATTTGCAAATAGAAATGATAATTAGGGCTGGATAATTTTTAGGTTTCTTTTTTTTTCCTGGAGCTAACATTAAACGGTGCTTGTATGTAACTTTAGAAACATTGTTAAATGTATTTGCTTTTTTGAAAATTGTTTTGCTTTGTAAATGTGCCCCATTTGCAGACTACCCAAATGATGTAACGTGGTAGGAAAACACTGCATTACAGTCAGTCAGACCTTAGAGCAAATCCTGGCTTAGCCACTGGCCTTGGCTGGGCACGTTAAATAACAAGGCTGATTCTCAGTTTTCTCATCCATGAAATGGGGATGTTGCTATCTATCCAGCAGGGTCATTGTGAGGATTAGAGGTTATGCATGGATAAAGCATGTAGGACAAAAGTAGACCCTCCATATATGGGAATATTTATCACTGTCAGACAGTAAGCTCTTAGGACATGGGGATGTGTTTCGGGAAGAAAGTTCTACTCACAGATACCATTCTGGAAACATGTGGCTTGACAGAAAATCCCCCAATAGCAGAGGTAAAACAGAGATGGCTATTGCTTCAGGATGAATGGTTTTTTTCCCCATATTCTAAGTGCCCTGCAAGATGTGACCGTAATCAGCATTCTGGAAAGAATGACTTCTTTATTGAATAAGTTTAGGGAAACTCTGGGTTAAACAGATTAAAGGCAGGGCTACACCATGGATCTCCAAATGCGGAATAGAATGCACACCGTTTTTTAAACTTATTCGACCAAGGTACATTTTCCTTCCTACGGAAATATCTATTAACCTCTAAGAGACCATCAATGTTACTCTGAACACAATTTCAGAAATAGGGGTGTACACAGATGCATCCCTTGCTTACCCAGCTTAATGTCAGTCATGAACAGACCCAAGCACTCATGTACCCAAGCCCATGTTTCTTATGCATCATTATCAAAGAGTATCCCAAAGCTGCAATAGTCCTTCTGTTTTTCCAACTGTTACTGAACTTCTTGTTCACAATCACCTACCCACCCACATCCATGGGGTGAGTGCTTCCATGTAGCTCCCTTTCTCCAGGCTTCCTCACAGAAAACTATTGGCCTTTGTTGGGGCCTCCTTTTCCCGCTTCCCTACACCCTTTCCCATTTTTACTCCTTGACCACACCAGGAACTCTGCTCTCAGAAGCGAATGGGTAGATGGTCTGGGACATCCAGGATGACTAACTGGATTCTGACCCTGACCCTAACTTCAGCTCACTGCTTTGCCTCTGGGCTGTATCTAGCTCATCAAATTAAGAATTTGTTAGATGAGGCCTGTCAGAAATAAATGAGGAGAAGTATTGAGTGTGGAGAGCTGATAGGGAGGCAAGTTGAAAGGCTGGTTACAGATAGATTTCTAATTTTTCATGAGACAGGGAGCAAATGTTAAAATAAAGATGAGGGAATGAAGGTTTGCCAAGTAGAATTGCCACTGAATGACCAGCCCTGGCTGAGAGAGGGGGACGGTGCCAGTGAGAGGAGAGAGTCTGGGGGCTTTGTGGGACAGATGAGGGTTCCATGAGAGGCCCCTTTTGTAGACATGCCACTGGGAAGGTCACAGCTCCTCAATGCCCCATAGTCTCCATCTGCTCTAGCAGAAGGACAGGGAGAGGCACCACCCTCAGGCCCATGTTCCTTGGTGCTTTCACGATGCTGGGCTTTGTCACTTTGAGCCTGAAGTCTTCTCTTGCGTAGGGCCAGAGGTAGCTGGAAGTCCTGCCTCTCCTCCTTAGTCTACCTTTGTCGTGTGACTCTGTCCTCTTTGAGAAGCAAGCAAATTCCAAGCTAGTAAATATGTAGTAGGCTTGGCATCTTTCAAGGCACTTTCATAGACACCATCAAATCGGTAAAAATAAAACCCAAAATTTATGATCTTTTTTAAGCTTTGCAATAACCCCTTGAGGAAGGCAGTTCAGGTTATTGTCTCCCCTTTTCACACGTGAGGAAACTGAAGCTCAGAAAGTTAAAAACAGCCAGTGGATATTGGAGTGTAATCCACATGCCTTCCTCTCTCCGGGAGAGTAAACTCATCCGCACGTAAATAAGTTTTAGCATGTGGATAGAAAGCTGATATGGGTTGTAAGTTAAGAAAATACCGATCATCTTATTTCTGGAAAGGGCAGATTAGATTATCAGCCAGCTCTCCTATTGAAAACACCTGAAAAAGCTGGATAAAACATATTTACAGCCTTCTTGAAAGCACCACAGAGTGTCCTTCCTTGTGTGGATTTACCAAATCCTAAATTAAAGGGAAAACAGAACTCAAGGGGCAGTTGTCCCCTACTTAAGGGCCTTTGCTGAGTCAGGCAGATTTGAACTTCTGGCAAAAGTCCAGGGGATAGGAAATCAAAGCCCAAGACCCTTTTAAAGTGGGAGCATCTATGAGGACAACCTCTCTACAATAAGTTGAGACTTCAGAAGGCTGCATTCCCAAGATGAGACTGAGCATCCCTTCTAAGAGTCTGCAGTATGGTTTGAATTACCTGGGCCATCTGGGGGACCAGAAGAACCTTAACTCAGTTTAAAGTGGTTCTGAACAGAGAGTTCCCCAGCCATCTTGCAGACACTAACCAAATCATCTCTGAAGGAAGGTACTATAATCCTAGGTCTCAAATTATTTCAAGTTATCTTTAACACAATGGACATTGCACAGCAAACCATAACCAGGCACACAAGAAAACAAGATACTAAGAGTGAGAGCAGCATAAGGCAGACAACAAAAAACAGACTAAAAAATATGTTAGTTAATGGAATTATGAAACATAGCTATAAGACAGCCATGTTAATTTTATATAAAGAAATAAATCATGATTCATCTTCCCCTCTAATGTACCCCCCTTCAGCTTTCCCTTCCTTCCCCTAATGTCCTCTGTGCTATTCCTTATGTTCCACATACAGTGATGGGCATTAAGGAGGACACGTGTTGTAATGAGCACTGGGTGTTATACGTAAATAATGAATCATGGAACACTACATCAAAAACTAATGATGTACTCTATGGTGACTAACATAA